AATTTTTTCTTCAGTTCCCCCAGCTTGAGAAATGCTGAGCGTGTCCTTCCTTTTTGGTTTTCTGATTCCAGATCTTTGCACATTTTGTTGTAATATTTGCATTTATTGTCTCAAGCTGATCTTTGAAATTTTCTGTTAAGCTTTTGTACCTCCTTATTTCTTCCTGCCATAGGTAACCACTAATCTCCTGTCTGTCTGTATTGCTTTGTCTATGTAAGATATTTTATATAAATGAAATCATATAAGAAATGGTCTTTTATATCTGATTTCTTGGACTTAGTTCCCAAGGTTCTTGCATGTGGTAACATGGATCAGAAGTTCCTTCCTTTTTATGGCTGAATAATACTCCGTTGTAGGTGAGATAAACACATTTTATTTATCTGTTGGTCAGTTGATGGGCATTTGGGTTGTCCCATCCTTTGAGTAGTATTGATAATGCCTCTATGAACATTCCTGTCCAGGTTTTGTGTGACTATGCATCTTCCTTTGTCTTGAGTACTTACTGGGAAGTGGAGTGGCAGGTAATCTAATGAGACAGGTAACACTTCAGATGCTCATGTGACTAAGAGTCTCTGAGACTCTCAGTTGACTTTGTGCCACCTGAAGTAGTCCATCTGGTAATGGCAGCCCCTGGTAACAGACGCCAATCCTGCTGTGTCCCATGGTTTGCCAGAGCACAGAGATGAGGATGAGGGAGAAGTAAGGGATGTTTGCCTCCCGAGAGGCCAGCATGCACAGAATCACTTGAAGCTCAGTTCCCTGGGCCCCACCCATGAGCCACGTTAGTTCAGTCATCGCGAGTGGAACCCAGGACTCTGCCGTGTAACAAGTCCCCCCGGTGTTCTGAGACTGGTGTTGAGGGACCCAGCCTGCATGTTTGAACACCTGAGGACAAAAGCTTCAGTGCCGGACATATCATATTTGTCTAATTTTAAAGAAATTAGCATTTTTATAAAAAGGGAAGTGAGACTGGGTGTTAGACCGAGTGAGTTCCATTTGGGCCCCTGCTTTACACATTTAAGGATGCTATACACTACTCTGTTTCTGTATGAAGAGCCCCTAATCCAGGGACAGTGGATGAGGGTAAAAACTCTCCCTGGGCAAGGGCCAAAGGCAGAATCTGGCCTCTTGGGCAGGCCCGGGGCCCCAGAAGGCCAGAGCCTGCCATTACAAGGTCAGGGTCCAGCCTGGAGAGGGTCTACCCAGCCTGAAGAGTGAACCCTGCAGACTGTCTAACTCAGCATTAGAGTCATCCCTTCCCTTTCATATCCCCCTCCCAACTCAGAGGGTTGCCAGCTGAACTCGGGGACCCTGGCTGCCAAGAGCCCTGCAGCCCAGGTAGACAGATGGCAGGAGATAAAGCAGAACTGAGCCTGAGGTGTCCCAAAAGGCCCTGCTAACATCTACCCGGGCATCTTTGGCAAAGGGCCAGTTCTGTCCTCCCAAGACCTCTCTATCTCCAGGTCATGCTCCTGGGAAGGCCAAGGGCTCCACTTACCTATAGGGAGCAGGGTGAGGGGTGAGAATCTCACACTTGGGCCTGATGCCAAGACTTGCCCCATTAGAAAGCCAATCCTTTATGTTGAGGATTGATGTTGACTTACTGTCAGATAGGGTCTGTCTCACCCTGCTGTAAGCGATCTGCTGCAGAAAATCTCTTAAAAGGATTAAAAAGCAAAGATGTCTCTTTGAAGTCTAAGATACGCCTGATCCAAGCCATAGTATTTTCAATCACCTCTCTGCACTTGAAAGTTGGATACTTAATTAGGAAGACTGAAGAAGAACTGATGTCTTTGAATCATGGTGCTGGAGAAGAATGTTGAATATACTGTGGACTGTCAGAAGAATGAGCGAATCTGTCTTGGAGGAAGTACAGTCAGAATGCCCTTTAGAAGTGAGGCTAGCAAGACTTCGTCTCATGTACTTTGGACATGTTTTCAGGAGGGGCAAGGGACAAGTCCCTGGAGAAGGATGTCATGGTCGATAAAGTAGAAGGTCAGCAAAAACAGAGATAGCCCCTCCATGAGATGTGTTGAAATAGCAGCTGTACAACACTAAGCTGACATATAGACTCTTATGAGGATGGTGCAGGACTAGCAGCGTTCTGTTGTACACGGGGGCTCTGTGAGAACCAACTCGATAGCACTTAACAGCCTACCACTGTGTGTCTCACTGTCGACACGCCCTGCTTGGGGGTGCTCAGCATGCACCCTCTGAGCTTCATCAGGTCCCAGGGAAGGAAAGGTTCCTGGTGATCTGCATCCTAAACTTGAGGACACTGAGCTCAGACAAGTAGGGACTTGCCTGAGACAGCTCAGCTTATGAGCAGAGAGCCAGGAGTGGAACAAGCTTTGTTCTTGATCTTTGCTCGTAAGATGGGGCGGGATAGGGAAAGTTAGGAATGCCATCAGCTGTCATGGACATCTCTTAGTGGACTCTTTACTGGGTGTGGCAGGGCCAGACTGGAAGTTATAGTGGCTCAGAGAGAGCAAGACACCTGCAATCTAATAACAAATTAGTCCCAAAGCTAGAGCTAGCCCTGATCTCTGGTTGCCCCATCCAGTTCTCTGTATCAGCCCCTCCCAACAGAACAAAGGGAGACCTGCAAGGCAGTTCTGGCCAAGGCCCACCATGCAAGGAGTGAGCTGGATACTTAGGGTCAGAGGGTAAAGCTAGCCCTCCTGCTGACAAGGGTGACTCTCTGGGTTTTCAGAACTTTGCTACAGGAGAATAGCCTCAGCCCCGACTGGATCCTGAGGCCACGCATGTGGGGAGAAGATGAGGCTTCATTCATTCACTCCTTCATGCATTCACCCATTCAAGAGTTACATATTGAGAGTCTGCTGGGAGCTATATAGAATGCCAAGGGTTATGACTTCCCAGATCTACCCATTCAAACCTGGGTTTCTTTCCGAGGCTATCCATGTTGTTATCAAGATAGCAGGAGCTTTTCTCCCTTTATTTCTGCCCCAGCATAAGGCCCCCTTTCCTGACTGAGAACCACGAGTGGGCAGAGCTGGGCACTCACCCGAGAAGCTCTGGCCGGAGCCGGCCACCCACACGCTTGGCTGGCCAGCCAGGCTGCCGTCCCCACCCCAGCTGCTCCATCCCCCACCCACCCTGCTGCAGCGCCTGCCCAGGCATCTTCCCCAGCCCCCCTGACCGAGCAGCCAGTGACTGCCTCCCGCTTCATTAATAATGAATTCCCAGGCCCTCCCCGCACCTCTCACTGGGAACCTAATTGACTTGGTGGGAGCCTGGGCAGGTCCCCTCTGGAGAGACTCGGAGAAGCAGCTGCTCCAGCCAGAGTCACCAGAGCCCAGGAGAGCAGGCAAGCCTTCCAGCAGACAGCCCCCCAGAGCACCTGCTTCGGGGACTGTCCCCCACAGGGCACCTTGCTGGCCACCTCAGGAAACAGCCAGGACTCTAGGAGGGACCCTCTCCTATTAAAGAAGGGAGATTTTTTCTCATCATTCGGCAGGAACGCAAAGCCAATCCCCACAGATACTTTGGACACTGCTTCAGGGGCACCCTTGAGCCAGGACCAGACATTGGGCAGTCCAGACCAGACCAGGGTCAGTACAGAGGAAGAAGCCCCTAGCACCAGGAAGATGTGAGGTGCAGAAGAGATGGGAGCTCCCCACTCCACTCAACTTTTCTTCGGGAAGGTCTCTTCTAGCTGGTCTCTGGAGCTCTGATTCTTTCCCCTCCAAGAACACACCAGCTGTTCTACCATCATTGACTTGGGAGCTCCTGACTGCAGAGTCTCCCCCAGGGCGGGGAGCAGCCTCTGAGGGCACTGACTTCTGCGCTCCTCCTACCCTCCAGCATGCAGGTCTCCTTCATGTGCTCCGAGCACAGCCTCAAGGCCCGCGGTCCCGAGGAACGGCTGGGGCGGCCGGTGGTCAGCAGCCCCAGCCTGGGCACCCGTAGTCGCTTCCGCGCCGTGGCCATGGTGGCCCGGAGCCTGGGACAGCTGTCGGTACAAAGCGTCCCAGGCACCGGTGACACCAACGGGAAGCAACTGGGCATGAAATACAGGTAAGAGGTAGAAGGGCTTGGCAGGTGGGGGCTGTCCTCCGTCCCTGACCACCTGCGACAGTCCTGAGGATCTGCAAATCGCTAGTTTTCAGAGTTAGGTGCCAAGAGGCCAGAGAGAGCTATTTTTAGTGCTTGGTAGACTTGTTGAGAAACAAAAGGGAGGCTTAGGCCAGCCCCAGGTTTCTCTCTGTACGTCACAGATGGAGAGAGAGAGCCCTGGGATGTATCTCTCACTTCATTCTGCCCGTTTGGTTCCCTTCTAAGGCTTCTCCGACATGGACTCTGGGCAAAGCTCTCTCTCCCAGGAGCCTGATCTAGCATGGGCCATGGGCCTCTGCACCCCCTCTATCCTCCTCACCCCAGCACATGGGGGCCAAGAAGGAGGCCATGGATAGTTCCATGTCTCTTCAGAAGCCCAGCATGGCAGATGTCTGTTAGTCAGGGACCTCCCTAGCCTGTGTTCCTCTCTAGCAGGCACATGATAGCCAAGCAGCTTCCTAAGGTTCCACAGGAGTAGGTCGGGCTGGTCTGCCACGAGTCCCTCCATTTGTGCTCAGTCTCCCCACCTGGCTCCGGGATCTGTCACTGTGGCTTGTCTGTGAAGAGAGTACAAAGTCTGAGGGTCTGTAGAGCGCGGACCTTCCCTGAATCCCCCCCGGAGCCCAGCCTAGGGCCTTGCTAAAATGCTCAGTGGGTCCCACTTCGTGGGAGAGCATCTAAGAGGCATGGTCCTGGGTCCTGATGGGCTCAGTGCACTTCTCACTACCCGGAGTCCCCTGAGTCCAGAGTCCTTAGTACTTTGAGAACGGTGTGCCTTGGGGAGCAGGGCTCTCTGCACCTCAGGCTCTACATAAGCTGGAAAACTAGGAGTTAGCCCTCTGGTTCTCAGGTTTGCGGGGTGAGGGGAGTTCTTCCAAAGTTAGAGACAGATACAACTCTGGTTTCAGTGACCCCAAGTGTTGCACATGTCCCAACCTCAGAAAAAGTCATGGACAATCCTAGTTGATTTGATAAGACTGGTCTGGGTTTATCATTGGTGTTGGTGCCAATAGGAAAAGCATTGAGGAATTGTTTTTACCAACTGAGAATTATAGTTTAAATTTCTCCAAAGCCAATATCTGCAAGTTGGGCCTCATGCAAAAAAAAAAAAAAAAAAAAAGAACCTTCTCATCTAAGCCCAGTGCCTCCTTGAGATGCAATTCTGAAATCACTGTGTGAGACCCTCAGCTTCTCAACGCATCTCCTTCCTGCCTTGGGTCCTTGGGAGAGGTTTGATCTTTAATCCACTTCAGGAGTCAAAGGCTGAGTGAGGACAATCAAGACTAGCATTCTTTCTTCCAGCATAATATTCTCCTCTGAAGATCCCTTGAATAGTAGACATACAAAGAACCGAGTCCTCAAAATTACCTGGTGGGGAGTGTGTGAGCAAATGTACATATGTATGTACATGCATGTGAGCATATGTGTGTGTGGATATGTGTGTGTGTGTGAGAGTCTGCATGTGTACATGTGAGTGTGACTGCATGTGTGCATGTGTATGTCAGAGCCAGAAAACCAAACTCATTGCCCTGAGTCAATTTCAACTCACAGCAATCCTATAGGGTAGATTAGAACTGCCCCCACCTATGGGGTAGGTTTCCAAGGCTCTGGTGGCAGTAAAGGATAAGCACTGGGCTATTAACCTCGAGGTCAGCAGTTTAAACTCACCAGCTGCTGGAGAGAGACAGATCTGGCTGTCTGCTGCCATGAAGATTTACAGCCTCCGAAGCCCTGTACAGGGACACTATGAGTCAGAATCGACTCGATGGCAGTATGTTTGGTAATCTTTACGGAAACAGACCACCAGAGCTTCCTCCTGCTCAACAGCTGGTGCAACTAACTGTTCAGTTAGCATCTGAGCGCTTAACCACTGTGCCACTCGAGCACTATGCCACTCCTCCCAGGGAAGTGAAGGAGGTCCTTATTGGGCTGCTGGGCTGTAGTCTAAGGAACAAGGTTCAAATCCCAGCCTCCTCCCTTGTTAATTGCAAGACCCTCACCTATCAAATGGAGGTGCAAACAAAATTGTACAGGTAGGAAGCTTGGTAAGCATTCTGTTGTGATGTTGAGGGAGGGAGGTGGGGCTCATACTCCTGAAGGGTGTACGCTTTCACAACAACTGAAGTGGAAAGTCCCAGCCATGATCTGTCTGGCCCTCCTTGCTGAGCACCTCATCTCTCCTATAGCTCCTGCCTCGGATTTCTCCAGAGTGACTGTCCCAGGTTCATAGTGGGAGCCCCAAGCATTGCAGGTGGGCCCAGCCCCAATTCTTACCTCCTACCACCAGGAAACTGACTGGCAGGCTCTTCCTGGAAGCTTGTACCAGGGCTGGAGGAAGCCACCAACCACACATCAGGTGAACTCTTCAGGGCTCATACCAAAGGGTCACATCCTCAGTGCAGGGAACGGGAGGCACTCAGCATTGAAGCCCAAGCTCAGTAAGCAATGGAAGGACTAGCATTCTAAGTCTGGAGTCCAACAGCATTCTCAACAAACAGTCCCTGGGAACCTGCTGCTGCCAACTCAGATCTGAAGATAGCCTGTCCTTAGGGAGCATGGAGTCTGGGTGCAGGGCTCTATTATAGGTCTCTTTATCCACTTTCTCTCAGCCCTGTCCAAAATCTAACAATAAATGTCCTCTCTGCCACCAACTGTAAAAGCAGTTTTTCCTCCTCTGACCCTCCCCACCAGACCCAGGTCAGACCACGCAACTGCCAGGCCTGCCCAAGACCTCAGACACCAGCTGCAAGCTTGGGGGTTCCCTCTGCCTCTGCCCTTTCAGGATGCCAGCCGTAAGCTCAGAGGTCCCCAGAGCCCCCTTCGCTTGTGACCTGCTGCCTACAAAGTCAGGGTTTCCCTTTAGCCCCTGAGGTTTGATAATTTGTTAGAATTCACAGAGCTCAGGGAAGTGCTATACTCACAATTACAGTTTTATTATGACAAGAAGGATAAGAAATGAAGAGGCCCGCAGGGCAAAGTCGGGAGCTTCTGTGTCCCACAAAAGGAGCACCTCACTGTCTGCCAAGCTTGGGAGGAGGCGTCTTTCACCAACCAGGAAGCTCACCAAGCTTCCTTGTCCAGTTTCTCTTGGGATCTCAGTACATAGGTACAGCTGATTAAATCATTGCCCACATAATGGAACTCATCCCCAGCTCCGCTCCTTTAAAGTTGGGTTGATGTCATATGGTGGGTCTTTCTGGCTTTAAAAACCCCTAGTCACCTCATTAGCATGAACCCTCAGGTGTGGTCTTGGAACCTTCATCTACAACTCTAATTACTGGGGAAATTCCAAGGTTTTAGAGGTTGTCTCTCAGGAACCAAGGACAAAGACCAAATCCTTTGGGTAAACTTCATTATAAACTCCACAGATAAATAGATACAAAGACACAATTATTGTTAAGTTCTATCATAGAGACCCTGCATAGGGTTTTCAAGGCTGTAAATCTTTGTGGGAGCAAAACTCCTCATTTCTCTCTCAGAGCAACTGGTGGGTTTGAACCACTGACCTTGTGGTTCACAGTCCAGTGCTTATCCTACAGAGCCACTGTATTCCCTGTTGTTGTTAAGTGTCATTGAGTCAGTTCTGACTCACAGCGGCCCTGTATAGGGTTTCCCAGAAGGGGTTGGTGAGTTTGAACCGCCAACCTTATGGTTGGCAGTCAAGTGCTTATCCTATAGCTCCACACCACAATGTTGTTGTTAAGTGCCCTCAAGTCATCTCCAACCCATAGCGACCCTGTATAGGGTTTCTGAGGAGCAGCTGGTGAGCTTGAACCGCCATCCTTGCAGTTCAAACAGCTTTACAGTCTGACGCATTAACCCACAGCGCCACACCAGGACTCCAGTAGATACATGTTATTAGGGACAGGTGAGCAAGATCCTTACTGGAAATTGTCCTGTCTTTTCCCATCTCCCACATTCAGAAAACCAGCTAATGCTTTTCCATTGTCCAATCAAATTTTTATACTTTGTCTAGATGACTGAAGTTAAAGACTGAGCTCCTGTTTTGAAAACAATCTGTAATTTACCAGAGCCTTCCAACACACGCGGGTCTGGAGAGTGCGTGCAGTATTTAGCAGTATACAGTGTTCATTAGTTGGAAGATGGAGGCCAAAGATTATGTTAACGAGTCCTCATTGGCCATTTATCCCGGACCACTGGCGAGATAAGCAAATTCATGAAGACAGGCATTGTTTAAGGCTTAGAGATTTTGACCAATTATTTTATCACTATGTCAAGTTTTAATTGGGGGGCGTAAGGGACTGTCGCAAACTATTTTAGTGTTTAGAAAGTTTCCAGTGGCAGTGAGTCACTGTTGAGCTCCCCACCCCTCACAGAGAAGCCATACATAAAGATTTCCGCTTGGAGAGACCCTGTCCCTTCTCATTCCTTCTCCTGTGCCTAGCAGCTCATGGCAGAACTAATACCATCATTCTAGCAGAGAAAAAACTTGAGCAGGGTAATTGCAGTATCGGTGTCCTAGTTTTGTGAAATCATTCCTGTGAGCAGTGGGTGGAGCAGCAGCTGGGGAACCAGATGCCCAGGGTCCATTCAACCCTGACTCCATGAGGAAATTCAGCACTCATTCAGTGAAGCAGGTCCATTTCATGCCTATCAAACTGAGAACAGACAAAAATGAGAGTGCTTAGAACAACTTTTCTTCACCCTTCATCACTCCAGCCACAGACACGAATGGGCACAGGTCTTGTGTTTTGGCCTCACCTACCTCTCTGCTTCGATATGGTTTCTGTTCTCCTGAGCTCGTAGCATGTTCTGGCATTAGGTTCTACCTTCATAAAAGGCAAGCCTTCGGGTTGTTGTTGCTGTTGGTTGCCGTCGAATCCGTTCTGACTCATGGTTGTTGTTAAGTGCCGTTGAGTCGGTTCCAACTCAGAGCAACCCTAAATAGGGTTTCCAAAAAGTGGCTGATGAGTTTGAATCGCCAACCTTGTGGTTCAAATGACCCTGCAGTCCAGTGCTTATCATCAGCGCCACACCAGGACTTCTCATGGTGTTCTTCTAAATAACAGATGGAGCATTGCCCAGTCATGTGCCATCCTCAGGATCAGCTCTTGGTCAGTTCATGTTATGAAGGGCTTCTCTTGCTTTCCCTGTCCCCTCTGTTTACTAACTGTGATATGCTTTCTGATTGGTCTTTCCTGAAGATATGTCCAAAGTAAGCAAGCTCAAGTCTCACCACCCTCATTTCTAAGCAGCGTTCTGGTTGTATATCATCTAAGACTGATGTGTTAGTTCTTCTGGCAGTCCCCAGTATAGTCAATATTCTCCACCAACATTATCATTTCAATGTATGCATTCTTCTTCTGTTTCTTCCTTTTACTTTGTCCAGCTTTTACATGCATATGAGGCGATTGAAAAGACCATCGGGCACACTTTAATCCTCAAAGTGACATCTTTTCTTTTTACCACTTTAAAAAGGTCTTTTAGCAGCAGCGGATTTGCCCAATGCAAATTACTCTTCAGGAGACACACCTGAAACCTGGCCTTGGACATAGCTGATCTGGGAGCTGCTCTCCAGGTCATTCTTAAAGTGGTTTTGAAGAGACAATGGCTCAACCTTCCTTCTAGGTGCTAGGTTATATCTAGACCAGGTGCTCATTGGCCCAAAAGTTCTGGGAACACTGGGGCATGGTAAACCAGGCTCTGATGTTTACATTCTTAAACATTTCCAGAAAAAGAGTCTGGAACCTTCATCAGTTTCCCGAAGTTCCTTTTCAGCTTGTTCATTGTTGATCTATAGAAACCTGGCTGCTTTTATATGTTAACTTTGTACTCTGCCACTTTCATGAATTTATTTATTAGTTCTAATAGCTTTCTTTTAGAGCCTTTGAGGTTTTGTATGTATTGGATGATGTCACCTGCAAAAAGGAATAGTTTTACTTCCTCCTTCCTGATTTGGATACCTTTTTCTTTTCTTTTCTTTTTCTAATTGCTATGACTAGGACGTCTAGAACAATATTGAACAGCAGTGGCGAGAATGGGCATCCTTGTCTTGTTCCTGATCTTAATGAGAACTCTCTCAGGCCCCATTGAATATGCTATCTGTGAGTTTTTCATAAATGCCCTTCATTGTATGGAGAGAGTCCCCTTCTATTCTTGTCTTGTTGAGTGTTTTTCATCAGTTTCTCAAATGGGTCTGTGACCCCAAAATAGTTCAGGACCACTGATCGGTTGCTTCCTTCTTGCTTTGTTACCAGATTGCTTGTAAGCAGCTTTATAATCTGTCACCACAGTTACTTTCTAGCTCACGTAGGAAAACGTACCTAAACTGCCAAATAGACCGTGTCTCCATGCAGAATTTATGAGGCTACAGCTGTGCCTTTCTCTCCAGCAGCAGCTACAAGTGCAGGTTACTCTGTCTTGGAACGTGAAAGCAACAATGAGGGCACTATTTGAGGATTCCTGGCAGCGTAATGGATTACGAGCTGAGCTGTTAACCTCAAGGTCATTAGTTTGAATCTCCCAATCTCTCTGCGGGAGAAAGATGAGGCTTCCTGCTGCGGTAAAGATTTACTGCCTCAGAAACCCTATACAGGGTTGCTATGAGTCAGAACCGACTCGGTGACACACAACCAACCATCTGATTATTTCATGGATTTATAGAAGGAAAAATTAGCAGAAACTCTATTTCTCTTTTTGACAGGTATGTAAGTTTCCTGTGGCTACAGTAACAATAGCACAAAGTGGGTGGCTTTAAAGAACAAAAATGTATTGTCGCATAGTTACGGAAGCTGAATGTCTGAATTCAGGGTGTCGGCAGAGCTGTGCCCTCCGGAAGGTCCCGGGGAAGGTCTTTCCTTGACTAGCAGCTGCAGTCTGACTCAGGGTCACATGGTTTTTTCCCTCTATTCCTCTGTATTTCTTTGGCTCTTTTAAAAGGGCCCCACTCAGAATGGATTAGCATCTATCCAGTTGTTACTGTTGTTGTTAATTGCCTCATGTCAGTTCCGATTCATAGCAATCCTGTAGAGTGTTCCCGAGGAGCGGCTGGTGGATTTGAACTGCTGACCTTGAGATTCAAATGGCACCCTACTCCTTTGTAGTTTATGACTTAATGGCAATTTAACTGATCCATCTTCAAAGGCCCTATTTCCAAACAAGGTCACGTTCACAGGTACTAGGGGTAGAACTTAAACATACGTTTTGGGAGACAGATTTCAACCCATAACGACTAGGTATGTGTAAAATTTATTGGGTTTGTCTGTTGTCACTTTTCACATAAGAAAAAGGTCACCTTCCACGTCCTGTGCAGTGTCTCTCAGGTACCCTGCCCTTTTGTGAAATAAGACGTGTAGAAGGTCAGAGTGTTAGTAGGACCCTGTGCCCAGGCACTGTTTTATATGAATTCCCTCCTTCTTCTTCACAATCCCTGTGAGAAAGAGAGTGCATGTGTGCATGCTCATGCCTTACAAACCCACTCTACAGTTGAGAAGATGGAGGCCTGCAGAGGTTACGTAACGTGCCTCGCATCATAGAATTGGGAAGGTCAAACCAGGATTTGAGCTCTGGCTTCAGAGCCTTGGCCATGGTCACTGCCTGATCCAGTTCATCTTCCTAAAAGAGAAACCAGATACCATTAGGATCTCATTTAGGGAAAATCCCAGCATCCCTGTAGGAGGCTGGTAGCTGGACAAGTTTTAATTGGAAATTTTTTAAAGAAACTTGGGCAGTTTAAGAGATAACGTAAATCTGAATGGCATGTCACATTTTTTCAAATCACTTACAAGTGTCATGCTATCTCCCCTGACCCCATTCTCACCACCCTTGTTGCTGTTGAGTCTGTTTGGACTCATAGTGACCCCATGTGACAGAATAGACCTGTCCTGTAGGGTTTTCTAGGCTGGTGTGGCATTGAACTGCAAATCGCAAGGTCGGCGGTTCAGACTCACCAGCCACTCCTTGAAAATCCTGTACAGGGTCACTATGAGTTGGAACTGACTCAATAGCACTTACCAACAGCAATCTTTACAGAAGCTAATCACCAAGTCTTTCTCCTACCATTGGGTGAGTTCAAAACAGTAACCTTTCAGTTGGCAGCCAAGCACTTAACTACTGTACCACCAGGGTTCCTACCTGCAACAGAAAGACCTGCCAACCTACTTCTGTAACAATAACAGTGGAGACAAACCTTATAGGTTTGTCTGCTCCGCCCTATGGTGAAGCTCTGTGTCAGAATGGACCCTATTGTTCTATGTATTGCTTCAAACGCTATGCTCAGAAAAAGTGACAAAATTGGGCATTCATCAGCACTACCTGCCCCTAATCTAGGCGGGACCTTGTAACCAGGGAAACCAAGGCTGAAGAAGGTCAGACAGCTGTAGGTCAGACTCAGGCCTCCGCATAGGCACTTGGGTAGAAAAGGAAACAAACTAACATCAAAAACGCAACATCCATCAAAGTCAAAAGTGTAATAAGTGCCCTCAGGGAAACTGGGGGCCTTGGGGAAGGAAGGTGGGCTCACCTCTCTTGGCCTCTCCGGACCTTCCCAGTAGCACAGACCTCTTTAGCAGGAACACCTGAGGACAAGGAGAGGCCAAGCCTGATGGGCCAGTTCTAGCTCCAGTACCCTGGGCCTGTGCCTCCCACTGTGGTGGAGGTCAGAAGCCCGGCCCCAAGGTCCAACAGCCTATGACAGGAAGGACCTGTCCTCAGCAGAGTGTTTATGACCACCTGTGGGGTCTGGGGTGCACCCTAGTACAAGTCCTTGGGAGCTTGGTGAGCTCTGATGGGCTGGAAGGTTAATGAAGGCGTGTCCTGCTGGTGTGGACAGATGCTCAGTGGGATCTGTGACCCTAGCCCACCCAGGCTGTGGGTCACAACACAGGCAGGCCTCAGGGACATGCCCATGGTACATACACCTTCTAGCCCTTTCTGCAGAAACTGGGAGTAAAGATCAAAAATGTTTTAAATATAAAGAAAGCAAAGAGCTTCTTAGCAGGAAGGGGTCCAGGGACAGCATCACAGGCCTGAATGAACCGTGTTTTAGCCCATGCAACAACACTATGTTATTGCTTGCAGGTGTTGTCACCATCTTTCCTTGGTCATCGATGCAGCTGTGTCCTTAGGGAGGAGGAGCTTAGTGCTCTACACCCCCCCACACACACACACAGCCCACTCTGGCCTTGTTGATGTTGGGGTGGAATTGGGGGTGGAGACAACAACCAACCTCATCCTGCCTGCTGGAAGCTTACATGTGTCTGTTTTTCAGGAATCTGGGCAAGTCTGGCCTGCGGGTCTCCTGTCTGGGGCTCGGTGAGTGTGGGGCTTCCTCTAGGACCCAACCCCCCTCAAGGAAACAGAGGATGTGGGAGGGCAGAAGGGAGCTGCCCACCTCACAAGGAAGCAGGGTGACCACAGCACCCAGAGTCTAGGATTCAGGAAGACTTGGTTGCCATGACAACCATGAGGCAGGTGAAGCAAGGCTTGGGAAAGGGAGGCAGACAGCAGTATGGTTACTGAAGAAGCAGATGGACGATACAGCTAAAGAGCAGTTGAAAGCTGCCCCCAGCCTCCTCTCAGGATTCCCTCATGTAACAGGGTGGGCTTCACAGGAGAAGTCCCTCCTTCCATGACCGACAGAGGTCCGCTCCTGGTCCCCTGCACACACCTCTCCCTGTCCCTCTGACGAGGACATAGGAGACATGTCAGCACAGCCGCCCACGGCCCACGTCCTGCTGTATCCTCAGGAAGCTTGTGTCACCTCAGCTCAGTGTTCCAAGACAGCAGTAGTTACCCCAGCCCGGGTGGCATAGCATGGTGGCCACCTCTCCTGGGCCCTGCAGCATCACAGGAGTGAGGCCAAGTCCCATGGGGAAGTTTCCTAACTGGAGCCACTGTGTCTTTTCCAGGAACATGGGTAACCTTCGGGGGCCAGATCACCGACGAGGTAAGACAGACCTCCACCTTGGCACTAAGAAGGCAAACTGCCAGTTCTAACCAAGGGCTACCTCTGCCACCTGAGCCCCTTGTTGGGGGCTGCCCATCCCCAGGCACGTGGTAGATGCATGAGTCACTGAACCTGAGCCCCAGCAACTGCCATAGCTTCCTGCGTTCTGCTTCACTCTGGTGCCCAGTCCCCAGAGGGCAACAGGAAAGTGAGCACACAGCAGTGACCACCAGAGATGCTAAAGCCAGCTCCCTTACCAACTGAGTACCTTGGACCTTCAGCAAGTCCAGGAAAGCTTCCTCATCTGCATGGCATCGACTTCACAGTTCACTATGGGAATTCAGCAGACGCATGTGGTTTCCAAATTCTAAAGCCAGAAGCAGATACAAACTGCTTCCATAGAGTGCACGCACCTGGATTTGAACTGCATTTCCGTAAGCATTTATTGAACAAAACCAGTTGTCTACTGGCAACCCCATGTCTGTCAGAGTAGAACTGTGCTCCGTAGAATCGTCTACGGCTGGTTTTTCAAAAGTAGAGCTCTAGGCCTGTATTCCAAGCTACCTCTCAGTGGATCAAAACCTGTAGACTTTCAGTTAGCAAATGCACATTTTCTCTGTCTGCACTACCCAGGGACTCCAGTATTTGTGGAGATCGTTTAAAATACAGATTCTGTTCTTTTTTATCTGCCTTCGGAAGAGATTAAGTAGATTGCATTTTGCTTTGCTCAGAAATGTACCCATCAGTGACTGTCATTTGCCATGGGTATTGGCTGGGGCTTGTCTCTGCTTGATTTGATAGGAAGGTGGACGTTGCTGAGGCAATGCCATCTGGGCACTGCCCATGTCTGGGTTCCTTTGAAGGAGAGGGGCTGCTGCACTTCTGGAATGTGGGTAACGTGAAAACAGAGGAATCTGTTCAGAAAGCCCTGGGCATCCTACATATGCAACTGTTTGTGCATTTGCCCTACTTACCACTGAAAAAGTTGAGTTTAAAATTAATCAGTGCATTGATTTGAGATCTTGTTAGCTGTGATTGCTTCTTTGGTTTTCAGAACTTCGCTTCTATCAAAATGGAAATGCATTTTAGTTGTGTTTTCATTCATTATCATTGTAATGGCTGCTTTAAGAACTACTTTCCTCTGGCTTTGAGGCTACTGGGTATGTGCCATCTCTGGGCAAAGTCAAGAGCTCTTAAGTGAGCAGTCACTAGGCATTTTATGCCCTACCTTGGGCCACCAGATCTATTCAAACACTTGGAGTTATAAAACCAGAGCCTAGAGCCCTCAGGTTTCTCCAAACAAGTCACTCAGGCCTGACATTCCTGGCTTCCCTTTCGACATAGTTACTAAAGTAGCAGATGAAAGAATTTTGTAGGGGACATAACTTCCTTCCCAAACAGCATTATTTGCCACACTGCTGTTATGTCCTTGTGAGAGTGTCCGGATGATAACTGACCCATTTGGTGAATTTCTCACCAGCAAATCAGTCTCACCCAAATAGGGTAAGTGATCCTTTAGCACCGCTGGCTGGCACTGGTCTCTGCCATGTCCCCTTCAGATGGCATTTATGAAGACACTGGAGGCTATTTCTAGATGGCACAAAGCTGGAAAATGAATGTAGTCAATGGGTGCCAGAGTCAGGTCGTAGCAGGCAAAAATGATGAAACAGAGGAGCAAGACAGGATTTTATTATTAATTCCTCCATTCTGCATCAAAACAAATCAATAATATCTTAAGTATAAGGGGCATACTTCACCCCAGCTCAGATGAATAACTAGGCTTTGAATCTGGTATTGGCTGTGTGCTCAGTCCAAACCAGCAAGTGAGGTGACCTCGAGGAATCGAGGATCTTCTGGGGCTACAGAGGGCTGTGTGAGGCCATGGGCTCCTTTTTCAGCCTCTGTCCAAAGGAAGGAGCTTAGCATGCCCAGAAACCTAGAAGCAGAATCTTATTATTATTTGTTGTTGTTGTTTTCCACTTTTTTATGGTGAAAATATACCCAACAAAACAACTGCCAATTCTACAATTTCTACATGTATCATTCAGTGGCATTGACTGCATTCTTTTTGTTGCGTAACGATTCTCATGATCCTTTTCCAGATTATTCCACCACCATTAACATAAACTCAGTGCCCCTAACAAAAACTCTTCTTTCTCGCTCTCACTTCCGGTTACCATGAATAGTCTTGGTTTTCTAGGTGTCTGCTCATTTCGTGTAAGAGAGTTCACTCATAGATCTGGCTCAGCATGATGTTTTCACAGTTCATCCATGTTGTGGTGTGTTCCCAGACTTCATTTCTCCTTATGGTTGAGGAGTCATATTTTTAAGTACCACTGTGTGCAACACGCCCCGCCTGGGTGGCAGGGAGATTAAAAAGTGAGGGACTGGCAGGTTTACTCTGGCCAAGTGGCAAGCCTGTTTTTGTACATAAAGATTTGGGGGTGTTTTTTTTAAAGGATTTTTTTTTCAATGTTTTATTGTGACTTATGTGATAGTTTACATGGGAGAACATTAGCTTTATATTCATCCTATCGTATATCATTTCATTGCCATGGTTACAATCCTCTCCATGCATTATCAACCAACCAAAGGGTATACCCTGCAAGCCTGCCCCCAGTCGTCAGCACACAGCCTCTCTCCCTCTCTGGGTCAAGAGTCCCTAGCCACTCCATCTCTCCACGTCACTGTTTCCATCTCTGGCGTCACTGTTTCTCTGGGTAGGGTTCTGAACTCCGCTCTTCTCCCTTGATGGTCCCAGGGACCTCCACTCCTGGACTGCAGTTAACCATTCCCCTCCTTTAGCTACAAAACATTCACCTTTACAATTCCAACCCTCACAGTCAGTCCTGATAACAATTATTCACTATTGTACCACAAGAGTCCTATCTCTGTCTCCTCTCATCAGCCCCAGACATATTGGATACTACTCTACATAAAGTTTTATTGACACCCAGCCACGCCCACTAGTTTACATATTGTCTATGGCTGTTTTGTGCTAGGAAGGCAGGGTTAAGAAGCTGCAACAGAGACTTTCTGGCCCTTTGTAGAAAAAGCTTGCTGATCCCGTTCCCTGGGAGCTCAGCAGCTGTGTAGCTGTCGATGGATGAAAGCTTAGAGTCCAGTGCTGTGCCTCACCACAGATTAGAATGAAAGGCCTGCTGAGGTGGGAGCACCAACCATGTCCACACATGTATACAGTGCTCCTGGGTAACAGGACGCCATCACACACACAGCTCAGCTGCTTCTCACAGAAAACCCACCATGGAACAGACAGTGACAATGGAGAATTGGGTTTCTCTCCCCAGTCGGTGTCCTTTCAATGAGCTTGAGCTACTCCTCCACCCCACTGAAGTACATGTTCAAGGAAAGACTACAGAGTATACACAAGATGAATCGTGGTCTCAGACATTACACCAGCACTTCCATGAGGTCAGGGAGGTAGACGTTGCATCTCGATTTCAAGGACACTGACCCTCCTGGATGTGACAGGCACCTAGAGTAACCCCTTGAGTTGGGAGGAGAAAACCCACCCTGGAATCTTCACCTTCAAGCCTGTGGCCAGTCCCCAGGTGGGAACTACACTGGGGCAGGAATGGACTTCTTGTCCCTTGGAGGGGGATGACAGGAAGATAACCCACACGTGTCCTGAGGTTCCTTCCGACTCCAGTCCCTCAAACTCTGACATTGAATGTAATGTGGAAATCACAAATCAGAGTCTCCATTAAATAAGTAGATACACCCACCTGGCAGAAGTATCCCGAAGGCAGTTTTTGAAGATTGCTGTAGGCAAAGACCCACAAGAGTACAAATATAAATGCTGTGGGTACAGTAGCTCATACATTAGCCTTGCAATCCATCCACAGAGAAAACCCTGGAAGAGGAATTATAGCAGAATCCCGGCAATAAAAAGCATAGGGCAGCCCTGCCCTAAAAACTCCCTGCTTCCCTAGTTCTTTTGTGTCTGCAGTCATCCAAGGTGCTGTCCAAAGTGTCACTTCTTCTTGTTGTGAAGTGCCATCGAGTCAATTCTGACCCATAGCGACCCTGTATAGGGTTTCCAAAGAGCAGCTGGTGAGCTTGAACCACTGACCTTGCAGTTCAAACGATTTGCAGCCTGACGCATTAGCCCACAGCGCCACACCAGGACTCCAAGGTGTCACTATACACCTGTTTTTCTCTTTGCTAAGCAGCAGGTAGGGAAAGTCACGTACAGATGGGATCAAGCCTGGTGTCCCATCTGCAGGGCTTTCCTCCTGGTGAATCGGCTCTAGTCCTTCGTCAGGGGTTGGGGAGGAGAGCAGTCTTAGCAGACTCATCCGGCTTCCCTCATTCACAGAGAGGCTGGGCAGTGGTCACAGTGACACCCTCCAGAGTCTATACCTCATGGGTGAGGGTGGAGGAGGCTTTAGCATGTTCCTTAGAAACAAAGATGGCAAGACTTCTGTTAGCTTACTTTGGATTTGTCATCAAGAAAGACAAACCTCTAGAAAAAGACATCCTGATTGGTCAAGCAGAGACTCAGTAGACGCAAAGGAAACCCCCCACAAGGCAGATGGACACAATAGGTACAATGATGGACTGAAATGTACCAATAAACATAAAGATGGCAGAGGACCAGGCAGTGTTTCATTCTGTTGTACGTAAGGTCACTGTGAGTCAAAGCCAATTCTGTGACAACCAACAAAAGCAACAGAATCTGGTCAACAGCATCGTGCTTGGGCTCAATGGCCATTCATGGGTCCCTGCCTGGGAGCTGCCACCAACATAGTGTAGCCCTGGCTGACACTTAGCGGGGAGCATGCCACACTGGGGAAACACCTGTCAAAGCCACAGTGCAGAGGTCAGCCTCGCCTTTTATGAGCCACAGGGCCTCAGTCTCCCCACTGGCAAGAAATAATGATCCGTCCCCAGGTGAGTTGGGAAGGACTCCACGGAAGGTAGTTTCACTGGACACATTCCACCAATATCCAGCCACTTCATGAGGGTCCAGACAGACTGCTCTTGCTCTCAGAAATCCATAAGCCCAGGCTCTCCCTTCATCCATCTTCTTTGTTCGTCTCCACGTTGTTACTGAAAGTGGCTAACAGTCCACTCTGTATTTGTGTTGGTGAGGGGAGCTGGGAGGGAGGACCCTGCTGGCAGACTGGGATCCGCCCACCCACCAGGCCTGGCAGTGCCCAAGAACAGCCCTGTTTTTCTCGTTTCAGATGGCAGAGCAGCTGATGACCTTGGCCTACGACAATGGCATCAACCTCTTCGATACGGCAGAGGTCTACGCTGCGGGCAAGTAGGTGCCTTTTCTCCTGAGAATAAATGGTGCAGGGCTCAGCTGCCCTCTAAGCAGTGCCCCCCACTAGCGGTCGGGGCTCCGGGGATTCCCATGCTCCATGCCTACTGAGGATATTCACAAATGTGCTTCCCCTCAGCCCCTTCTTTGAAGCTCGGAGTGACTACAGGGAGGGGTTATTTCCACGGGGGTACTTGGACACTGGTCACTGACTAAACTCTGTTTGTGTCTGAGAACCAAGGTGGCCGCGGTCCCTTTGGTACCAACAGTGTCGTTCAGGGTGAGAGCGTGATGAAGCTGTCTCCCAGCTCTCTTGGGACACGGTGACCACACGCCTGTATTCTCACATCTTAATGGAACCATTAGGACTGCATCTGCACACACACACACACACACACACACACACACACTGCCCATCTTGGCAGCAAGCTTTCATGCCCAATTATGTAAAAGCTCGGCCCTCTTCAGGCAGACCTGATGGCTTCAATTTTCAAGACTGGCTGTAATCACATCATCTACTCTCCTGCCTCGGGTTTCCAAAAGTCAGCTTTTGTTTGTGAAATCATTTTTGGCTCTCTGCTCACCCTCCCATGGGCTCGTTCTGGCCTGAACTGAGCCAATTTCCCGGCAGCTGGGCTGGCTGCAGCCCTGACCTGCTGTGTTGTGGCCTCAGGACCAGCACCTGTCCAGCCTGCCAGGGCCCAGAGCCCATCAAGGACCCCGAGAGGCCTCTGCTGAAGAGGCCTGGAGAGCAACAGCCACAGTGCCTGCACTGGGCTCCCAAATCTCCTCCAACCCTCCCTCCCCACAGCAGTCCACTGCCCTCGTGACCCAAGCCCCTCCCGCCCCTCCAGTGGACCACAGCTTACCATCAAAGTAGAATGCTGCCTCCACATAGACACCTGAGCACCCCAACCTCTTCCAGGCCCTGCCTCTGCCTTGGTTCTGCTGGCCATTTGAGCATGGTGGGCAGGGGCAGCTCCAGATAGTCTAACCCCCTATATGGAGCTGGGCTCACTCCCCATCACAGCAGCTGTCTTCTGCTCTGTCCTCACCTCCCCCTGATTAACTGGATACACAGGACCTTAAGCGCCCTTGGGGCCTCGCAGGAAGTTGAGGATGAGGGGACCAGCTTCCCCGGCTGCTGCCCCCATCCTGCCCACCCCTACCCACACTGCTCCACTGGCCACCATTGCAGCTGCATCTTGGTACTGTCTAAGACTAAACCGGCCTCTCAAGCCCCATCAGTATGTCAGCATCAGAAACCCCCTTGCAAGAAAGCTGGTCACAGTGCAATGGGGAATAGACAAGAGAAGCCATTCAGGCAGGGGCTACCAGCAGGAAGGCCAATATGTATTCCTGGGACCCTGCTCCTCCTCCTTTCCAGCATATCCCAAGAACAGCAGGATTTCTACACAAGTTCACCAGCATGAGCTGCAGGCTTTGACCAACTTCCAGTCCGTGCTCCTGTGGCCCCCAGACCGCTGCTAGAGTCTCCTCCTCCCCATTTCCCAATTCTTTGTCTACAAATCAGAGCAAGGAACAAGAGGGAGAGGCCAAGGCTGGCGGATGTTCTGTGCATCTCTGCAGTCCATCAGCAGCATGCAAAATGTATGCAGAACAGCTTGCAAATGAGAACCAATTATTTTCCAGTGGATGACTCAGGCACTGTTATCTGAATGCAGCCTGGGTATGGATCGTTCTCCGTCTGTTGTTTTTGCTCAGAAACATTTTGCTGTGAGCAGAAAAGTTCTAAAGAGTTAGCTCAGCTCTGCAGTGCCAAGCAAGACTGGAACAGCCTGCCTGTGACCCCTGCTAGCCCAAGTTTGGCTGGAGACTAGGAGCGACGCCAAGCCAAGCAGACAGTGGTTGGTGTGGCAGCTGTCTGCCTATTGTTCAAAAGCAAGAAACAAGCAGGACGCACATGCACACTCGCTTGCCTGCATGCATGTATGCACAGGCGCACAATGCGCAGCCCTCCCTGCACACCACACACACAGCTCTGCTGGAAACTCAGCCCCTGGCCCTGAACAAATATTGATTGCCTCTGAAAACGGAGGTGCCACTTGATGAATAATTTACCTTTATAAAAGATACACTTGTCTGGAAATTTTGCACACATCTTGAGCTGTTAAGCGTTTCTCCTGGTGAATTCCAGCCAGCCAGCGAAATGGGCCTTCCCAGTGGGACATCATTTCCCTTGGCTTCTCTGACATCTGTCTCTGCTAGCCCTGGAGCCAAGATTGCTCAGACCAGTGCCTGCAGAGGACACATGCCCATGGCCACCTTAGTAGGAACAGTGGCACACCAGTTCCTGCCCAGAATCCAGCCAGAAGTTGTTGCCTAAGCCAAGGCCCTCCACAAAGACTCTCTGCCCATTGGCATTTCCACAGAGGGGGACTATGTGGTGGGATGGGTTGATTTTCTGTAATGCTAATGAAATCCCTGTGTCTCTTGCTCCTCAGGGCTGAAGTGGTCTTAGGAAACATTATTAAGAAGAAGGGCTGGAGGTAATTACTGTACAGTCTCTGTGGTCACACGCAGGAAAGAACTTCCAGAAGGCCTGGCGGGGGGTGGACACAGGAAGATACAGGGGTCTCCAGAGGGGCAAGCTGGCCTTTTTGGACCCACAAGGGTTGAACTCTTTGGGCTTGGGTCCCACGAGGGTTGGCTCTAGTTACTTTGTCGTAGGTAAAATGGAAATTTAGGGGATCACTCTCCCCTGTTTACTAGCCTATCAGCCCCTTGGTCAGCCAACCCATCTTGCAAAGGCCTAGGAATTTTCGCTTGCTGGGAAGGGAAGAATGTTCTAGAAAGGAGGCAGCCCTATGCTTCTTCCAGAAAGAGTGGGTGTGCGTGCCTCTGGGTGACCACCACAAAGAGCAAGGGTGCCAGGCCATGGTGACTTGGGAAGCCCCCTGTCTCCACATGGGGCTTATGTTTCAGCTCTCCAAGTGGGGAAGGCCACTCTGCCTGCTTGAGAGGTCACGTGACACCTGTGTTGTCCACCCCCTCCCTCACTTGTACTCCTCTGCTTTGTTCCAACTCATCCCATGGACCCAAAGCATCTGGATTCCCTAGGGACAGGGTAATAAATTCTGGAGTGGCCCATGAGCCCGACTCCTTGGGTGCTGGGGAGGAGCAGGGTCCAAGAGCATCTTAGAGCTGATGGGCTTTCCTTGGCCGTGAATGAAGGCACCCTCATCTGTGAGGGGCTGTCATGCCATGGGCCTGGCCAGGCCCCTTAGGGCTGGCCATTAGAGAGGCAGAAGCCCTATCTACCCTTGTGTCCCTGAAGCCTGAAGACCCCCCTTAGGGTACACACAGCTCATTCCCACCATGACTGAACATGACTTCTAAGCCCCCAGCCACAGCTTCAGTTCATGTGTAGACAAGACCCTTGGTCTATGAGCCTTTCTTTTCAGGATGTCCATAGTAATGCCAGGCAGCCACCGCCCTAACCTTCCCCATGCCTGCTCCACCCAAGCTGTTTCTTTTTTTTTTCTCTTTTTTTAATGTTTTATTGTGAATTATGTGATAGTTTATATGGGAGAACATTAGCATTACATTCATCCTATCATATATCGTTTTATTGCCATGGTTACAATCCCCTTCATGCATCATCAACCAACCAAAGTATATACCCTGCAAGCCTGCCCCCAGTCATCAGCACACAGCCCCTCTCCCTCTCTGGGTCTAGAGTCCTCAGCCACTCCATCTCTCCATGTCATCGTCTCTGCCTCCATCTCAGGCATCACTACTTCTCTGGGTAGGGTCCCGCACTCCGCTCTTTTCCCTGATGGTCCCAGGGACCTCTGCTCCTGGACTACAAAGTCAATCACTCCCCTCCTTTTGCTACAAAACATCTACCTTTACATTACCAGTCCTCACAGTCAGTCCTGTTAACAATTATTCACTACTGTACCACAAGAGACCTATCCACATCTCCTTTCATCAGCCCCACCCAGATAGATTGCACACACTACTCAGTGGAGATTCTGCCTTCCTCCGTACCTTCTGGATCTAGGCTCCCTCTTGAAAGCTTGTAAGAAGCTGTTTCTTCTTGGCTGTAATTGCGTCCCATATTAATTCCCCTTCTCTTCATAATTAAAGAACATTGCCCATGTTAGCGACTTTACAGATCACTACCCCCACAGAGAGACAGGGAACACAGGGAGGCCATCCTCCATTGAGGCAGGGCTGGCTAACTCACCCTCCAGACATAAGTCACCATGATCAGTACTTGTCTCTGGAGGACTTAAACAGGAGAACCAAATTCATCCCCTATGCTTCACTCAAACCCAGACCCTCGGGGAATCTCAGCTTCTATCCCCAATCCCCATCAACATCACCCAGACTCCCCACCACCACGCTGTCTCATACCAGGGCTTCTTAAACACCTCTCATGGTTTATAGGGAAAACCCAGTGTGCTTGGGTTCTTGCCCACCAAGCCCTGAACTTGACCTCCCTGGCACCTTGGCTGCTGCTGCTACAAGCCCCAGAGAGACAAGGCCCAGTAACACCCCCTTCTCTTCTGTTCTGCAGACGCTCCAGCCTCGTCATCACAACCAAAATCTTCTGGGGTGGAAAGTAGGTGCAGCTTGGGGCCAGCAGGGAATGGGATGGGTTCTACTGAGACCCAAGTGGAAGGAAGGGGGATGGCTGAGTTCTACTGAGACCCGAGTGGAAGGAAGGGGGATGGCTGAGACCTCTTCTGGAAAGATAAGAGCCCGGTTCCCGGAGGGCAGGGGCTGGCATTGGCTCCCTGGCTTTACAAATGCAGGAGAGCAGCTTTATTTGGATTTTCTCTTTTCCTCTAACCAAATCTTTCTGTTTACCAGGGCCGAGACAGAGCGGGGTCTATCCAGAAAGCACATCATTGAGGGTAAGTTGGGGCTCTAACAGCACATGATCTCCTGAGTGTGGGGAACCCACTGTGGGTGTCTCAGAGTGGACCCCAGTCACACAGCACACGGTCTCCTGAATGTGGGGGACCCGCTGTGGGTGTCTCAGAGTGGACCCCAGTCACACAGAACATGGTCTTCTGAGTGTAGGGAACCCACTGTGGGTGTCTCAGAGTGGACCCCAGTCACACAGCATGCGGTCTCCTGAATGTGGGGGACCCGCTGTGGGTGTCTCAGAGTGGACCCCAGTCACACAGCACACAGTCTCCTGAGTGTGGGGAATCCGCTGTGGGTGTCTCAGGGGGGACCCGCTGTGGGTGTCTCAGAGTAGACCCCAGTCACACAGCACACGGTCTCCTGAATGTGGGGGACCCACTGGGTGTCTCAGAGTGGATCCCAGCTCCCCAGCTGTGTTTAGCGGCAGTCCAGTGGATTCTGACTCATGGCGACCCTGTGTGCAGAGGGTCTTTCCTCAGAGCTAGGCCCTCTCAGAAGTAGACTGCCAGGCCAGTGTTTGAGGCGCCTTAAGTGGGTCCAAACCACCAACCATTCAGCTAATAGCCAAGTGCTTAATCACTTGAGCCACTACTGGAATTCCAGCTACATAGTTGTTGTTGTTGCTGTTATGTGCCGTGGAGTTGGTTCTGACTCACAGCGACCCTATAAGGGTTTCCGAGGCTATAAATCTTTACGGGAGCAGAAAGCCTCATCTTTCTCCTGTGGAACAGCTGGTAGTTTCGAACTGCTGACCCTGAGGTTCGCAGCCCGATTCGTAACCACTATGCTACCAGAGCTCCTTAACTACATAGTGGAAGACCCCAAATCCTGGATGTTACCCAATGCCCTGGCCCAGCGTCTCCTTCCAGGGGCACTGGACAGACTCTTCATGGGGTAAGAGTGGCGGGCAGGGCAGGAGTGGCATATGGAGGGAGTGTGGCAGGTAGAGCCTGTGTCACAGGCCTGGTGTGAATCCAGACTCAGCCAGGTTGACTCAGTGACCGTGAGCAAGAGACATCTGTAAAATGGGCATAGCAAAGCCCCCACCTCCTGGGATTCAGCCCAGAGCTCTGCATGGGAAAGAAAGGCCGGATAGGAAAGCCATGTCTGTAGTTCAGTGGTCTTGTGACTTTTTCTGTTGATTTTCATTCACTCCATTAGGGGGAAAAAATCAGAAAACTAAGAGGGCTTGTTGCCCCACCACTGCCAGATCTGATACTTGTCTGTCAGCAGTCCATTCTGACCTGTTTCTGCCTGCCTAACACTAGCGCATAAGGAGCTCTGGTAGTGTAGTGGTTACGAATCGGGCTGCGAACCTTAAGGTCAGCAGTTCGAAACTACCAGCTGCTCCACGGGAGAAAGATGAGGCTTTCTGTTCCCATAAAGATTTACAGCCTCAGAAACCCTATACAGGGTCTCTATGGGTCGGAACCGACTCCACAGCACTTAACAACAACAACACTAGTGCACAGTTTGTGGATCTTGGACACCATGATCACATTGCTTTCCCTCTTATAATGAAGCCACCAGGGAGTCAAGGGGCTCCATGGAGGATGTGTATCTTTGGGGAACACACCCCAGTCAAGCACAAGACTTTTGGCCTGGGGTAGCCCCTTCCTGTAGAGATGGAAGCCAGGAGGGATTCTGTTTTGCACTCAAGAAGGGGGCCCAGTCTTCTCTCCAGAGCTATTAGCACTGCCCACACCCCAGCACCATCCAGAAATGCGTGACTCTTCAACTTGGGGCCACTTGTTGATTTCCATCTTTGTTTCTTTCCCTTTGTTCATTTTGGAAGGTGGGGAGCATAATGAACCCGCCAGCAGTAACTAGTAAGAGTCTGTTACCAGGTGACTGGGATGTTTCCTACGTACCTAAACCCCTCCATGTGTGCCCAGGCTCCCTTCACAGAGCCCTCTGCACACGCACCCCACCACAGTCCTTAGCCCAGGGCACCTGCGGTGCACTCATTCCCATCCTGACATTTCACACCTGACACCTCCTAAACTCTAGGTCTCTTTCCTCCGGTCTGTGGTGCGTGCCCAGGCACATTTGTGGAAGACGTTTAGTGGTGGTGACCCCTCACCCCGACTCCTCCCTCCCCAGGTCTGAAAGCCTCTCTGGAGCGGCTGCAACTGGAGTATGTGGATGTGGTGTTTGCCAACCGCCCAGACCCCAACACACCCATGGAAGGTAGGCACTCTCGGGAAGCCCCCGGGCCCAGCACCGTCACCATAGGGTGGAGCTGAGTTGATGAAGTGTTCTGGGTCTGAGGCTCTGATGCCAGCCTTGAAAGCAGGTGCCCATGCCAATAAAGAGGGAAACTGGGCTGGGCGTGTGGGAGGGGCTGAGACCTCCAGAAAGATAAGAGCCTGGTGCCTGGAGGGCACGGGCTGGCATTGGCCCCCTGGCTTTACAAATGAAGAAGAACAGCTTTATTTTGGGTTTTCTGTTTTCCTCTAACCAAATCTTTCTGTTTGGCAACTGAGGGCCTGCGTGTGCCTCTAAATGTTCCCATGTGCCTCTGGCACCCCCAGGCACAGTGGGCATCGCTGTCCTCACTCAGAGCTCACACCTGGGACCCCCCGTGCCCCTTCCTTGTTCAGAACTGTGTGGCTTGTTCTCTTCTCTCAGCTGTTAACCTTTGTAACTGAGGTCAACATGGAGTACCTCTTTGTCAAGCTTCCGGTCATTTTGTACTGGGAGGTTCCAGGGGTCCTTTGCTCGGTGCAGGGGTACAGCAGTAAATTATGACATAGAAGAGGAAGTCATGAAAAGTGGTTGGGGTATCTTTTGGCATTTGCAGATTCTTTCTACTCCTGTGTTCTCGGCCCCTCCCCTCTCCCCCATCTTCCTACTTCTGACATTTTCTCATTTATGCTTTGCTACTCCAGGGACTTGGAAAATTAAGTTGTATTCAAGTTATTTTTTCCATATATATATATATTGTTGTTAAGTGCCGTCGAGTTGGTTCTGACCCATGGTGACCCTGTATAGGGTTTCCAAGAAGCAGCTGGTGAGTTTGAACCGCTGGCCTTAAAGTTCAAACCGACTTGGCAGTCCAACACATTAGCGCCACACCAGGACTTCATATATATATATATGTATACGTATATATATACATATATACGTATACATATATACACCTACATACCTGTGGGTGTGTATATTTTGTAACAAAACGAATACTCTGTAAGAAGTAATTTGTGCATCCCACCCCCGTCCTTTGTCATCCACATCCCCACAGCTATAAACTCTGGTCTCTTTAAATCTTTCTTTTATCACCAGGGGACCCATTTAGTTCCTCCAAGTCCAGGACATTCATCATAGAAGGTACTCAGTACCCACAGCCCAAGTATTGACCCCTATGTCCCAGCTGCATTTTATGAGACAGTGTGTTTATTTACACGACTCTCTTCGCCACCCACCATGACAAACTTCTCTATAAAATGCATAAAAGAGATTAAAATGCCCCAGGAGGACATCTTGCAAATGAAAGGAAAAGCAAAGCGTTTTGGGCACCTGTGTCTCCCTCATCCTGTTCATGTGGTCATTCCATTCCTCATTCCTGTCCGTGCATGTCACCACCCCGCACCTGCTTGCATTGCCGATGTCCTCTCGGGTGGCTGACCCCTCGGGTGGCTGGCCTGTCCGCCAGGCCTCTTGATTTGGGGATGTCATGGTCAGTACCTAAAACCCTGGCCCTATGGGATACCAGGGGAAGGGCAGGGACAGACCAGGTTCCTTTAAGGAGGACCCCAAAACATGTGGACCCCAACACATCTTGCCTTTACCATAATCATGCTTTGTGAACACCCACCCACCCCCCGACCTATCCACAGCACAGTGACTCCTTGATGGACACAGCGTGTGGCCACTCATGTTTCCTCCTGTGACTGGGCCACCTGCCAGTAGCCAGACCTCTCCATCGAAATGAAATCATTTTCCTCCTGCAGAATGTGTACATAGATGAGCTTGTGAATCTACAACACTGGGAAGGCTATGGTTGTGTTTGGTCCCTCTGCCCTCCCCTAAACTCAAGGACCCCCAGGCTACCACACCAAGGCCGGGCATCCTGTTGGCACAGGAGTGTGATCTCCCTGGGAATGTGGTGTGTTCAATGGTAGAAGGACATGTGCTGACCAGCTAGGCACCTGGCACTGCCACCTGACCCCCTCCATGTAGTATTTGTAACACAGTGGGAGAGGCCTCGGTGGTTGGCAACAGCTGGAAGGATGCCCTGCTTCTTCTGTTCAACAGCATTAAATATTGAGGTGAAGGACAATTGCCCACAGTTGTCCATTTCTGGGGCTGCTGGGCAGAAGTGCAAGAGCCCAGGTTCCTATGAATGGGCACTTTGTCCATCTAGCCTACTTCTGCCCAGGACCCTCTGTCCCCCCAGAGCAGTCGGGGATCATGCGCAGGCTGACCGCATGGGAGGGCATCTATCTCAATGCATCATACAGTGTGGCTCCTTGGGTCTTCCAGTCAGAGAAAGCAGCGTGCGCGGGAGACAGAGTAAGGCTGGCGGACGGGGTCTCTTGGCTGCCCTCTCGCTGGCATGTGGACGCACTGCCTTGGCTAAAAAGAACTGGGAAGTTCCCTGCATGATCACAGGTGCCCCAAGAGTGTTTCTAAAAAATGGAACAAAGGAAGCCACGCACGAGCAGGCACAGAGTTTGGACGTGGACAGATGTTGCCGGGCCCTTCAGGTTCTCAACCTTCCCGATCAGGCTCTGCTCAGCTCCCTCAAGTCAAGCAACAGAGGCAGAGAGCAGGCGGCCTGGAGGTGGGCCCAGAGGGTTTGACAACCCTCCTGTGCTCTTCCCAGGATTTCCAGGGTCCCATCCCTGACTTGGAAGGAAGGACAGGACAGGGCTTGGCCTACAGCGTGGAAATGCGGAGTGAGTCTGATGAGACCACTCCTGACCAGGGCCCCAGCAACCTTGAGATGCTCTTGCAAAGCATAGACCTTAGCTACTATTTGTTGTTAGTGATCACTAACAACAACTACTGCTGTCGATAATAATAATAGATAGAAAATTAAAAATGAAACAATTGCGGGATAAAGCACTAGACCGCAAGGTCTATTTAAACCACAGCTTTCAAACTTACAGTGGTTCAAACTCACCAGCCACTCCTTGGAAACCTTTACAGGGTCACTATGAGTCAGAACCAACTAAAAGCACTTGATACCAACAACACTACTGAGGTGAAACTGAGCTCCATAGGGTTTTCAACGCTGGATTTTTCAGAAGGAGATACTCAGGCCTTTCTTCTGAGGTACCTCTGGATGAGTTCGACCCACCAGCATTTCAATGAGCAGCCACACAGGGCCTCCAATAGTAATAATGCAATTATAGTTGTTGTTGTGTGGAGTCGAGTCGGTTCCAACTCATAGCAACCCCAGTGTAGGGTTTCTGAGGCTTTATGGGAGCAGAAAGCCTCATCGTTCTCCCACAGAGTGACTGGTGGATTCGAACCACCGACCCTGCGGTCAACAACCCATGAGTAGTCCACTATACCCCTAGAGCTCCAAGGTATCATAAGAAAGTTCCTTATAATTTTACAAAGTGCATAGATACACATACTGCCTAGTAAGCGTTTTAAAGTGTAGGCCTTGGCCAAAGGAACTCCTGGGGACCGGGATAAGTGGGAAATCACACCCCAAAACAGAGTGGGAAACGTGCCCGGTTTAAACCCAGCGTCCTTCCTTCCTTTTTCCCCTCTCGCCCACTGCCCCATTTAAGGACCTCAGTTCATTCTGCAGCAAATCAGGAGTAAGCCACTCGGAAAGAAATGAACCAGTGTTACTTTGTTTTTAGAAACACTTGTCTTCCGACTTTCCTTTCCACACTGCACTTGACGTTTCTCCTTGCAAGCATTGTATTGTATTGTGAGACATCCACTGCGATGGCCTCACACCCTACACAGTGAAGAAGCATCCAAGGTGTTCACTTCAAGGCCAAGTTTTGTTTGAAAAATGACAACACTCCCAACAGCGAAATGGGGAGCTATCATTGGCTTATTTTTATTTCTCACAAATTCATTTGAGTAGTAGGAAGAATCTATTGTGTAACCAAAAGGAAGTCCCTCTTCTCTCATTTAGGATGGTGTGGTCTTTCGTTGGCAGAGTCTTTAGGCCCTTGGATTCCCTTCGGTTCAGTGTTCAGGTTGTCCCACTCCACAGCTTGGCTCTTCTCAGGAGAGGAGGGATCCTCCACCCTGGAAGCAGAGATTCTGGCCTGGGGATAACAGATCAAGGCTTTCCAGGCCTGCTCTTATTCTGTAGCCAGGAACTGACCCTCCAAGACCTGACCAGGGCTCCAGCCTGCAGCCCGCTGTCCCTGTATATGCTACCATGACCAGTTTATTCAGCTCTCTGGCTTCCAGTGAGAATTCCAAGTAGAAACAGACACACACAAGTGTTTGTTTACTTCCTGATGCAATTGGTCAATCTGATGGTAACTTCATACATTTATCTGGTTCTGCCCAAGTGATGGTGGCCCCTGATTCTTCTCCAAACTAGAGATTCTCAGTGGGGACATTAAGAATCTAGAATTCCATTCTTTAATCTTGCCTTCCCCTTGCCTACCCTAGAAATATCACAGTCCACCCATCCATCCCATCTTTCCAAGATTCCCCACAACCTGAAACGATTTGAGGAAACTACTTTCCAGATTAGCTTCCTTGTTTGCTGTTGGCTCCTTTCTTCCATCCTGGAGAGACCACCCTTCCATACGCACACATATATACACCCAACTTGGGAGCCAGGACGTACACTGCTTGCAAGATGTAATTGCAGCCTCTCCCTTGCCAGTGCCCTCCTGTAGTGTGCAGACTGTCCCCAGGCTGGGCTCCCAGCCCCCTCCCACCTGTCGTGTCCCCTTCTCTCATGACAGAGACTGTGCGTGCCATGACCCACGTCATCAACCAGGGGATGGCCATGTACTGGGGCACATCGCGCTGGAGCTCCATGGAGATCATGGTACGGTGACTGCTCGGGATGGGGCTGCTTCTGGGACACGCGTGGGTCATGGGTAAAGAGCTGGTAGCTGCCATAGTTTTGCTCACAGCTGCTTCATAACTGATACCAGGAGGAGAGGACAGCATGTGGATGGGGTGTTTATGGCTGCAGGCTATGAATCATGGGGAGACCTCGACTGGGACCCACACTGCATGGCCCTGAACAGTTGCCTCAGTTTTCCCACCTGCAGAACAAGACTGCTAGGAACACTTAACCCCTTCGCCTCCCTCTCACACACACGATGCGGTAGTTTCAAGGACTGTCTGAAACAGCAAGCCCTCAGTGGTGATGCCATGTTCACCTCTTGTAGGGCCTTGGTGAGCCAGGTGCGGTGAAAGGTAAGGGCTTGGGGCAGACTAACTCCCACTTCATCTTGATGAGGTGAGGGCGGCTGTTGTCCCATTTTTCAGATGTGGACATTGAGCCAAGACGGAAGGCCCCAGTTGTGCAACTCAGAGCCTGTGCTGCCTCGAAACAGGCCCCACTGCTAGGACCCTGGGCTTCCAGCCCACAATTCCTGCCGTTTCCACCTCACTTGATTTCCAGGAAAACACCCCATCGTTGTCATTTCTATCCTAGGGAGGCAGCAGAGACTGAGCACAACAGAAACTTCTCACTATTTCTGGGGTTTGCTGGGCAGGGTCAGCAGGAAGCCCTTGTTCTTCTCAGGGGAAGGTTCCTGAGGTAGAGGAGGCATGAAGGGGAAAGGTCTAAAGTAGGAGAGGCTGCCGTCCATCCCTGGAGAGCAAGGGTAGTGAAGGATGACCCTTCCCCTAGCCCAGAACTCCCAGTAGCAACTTGTCCCTGGGAAGGTGGGTTTTCTCCAAGGGTGAGACCCAGCTCTCTGCTTCACCAAAGTAATGCAATGGGTTTGTGGTTCAAGTTAAAAGTCCTGTGAGTCCTCCACCTCTATCCTTTGTAGAATTAGCCAATATCTAGTGTTTCCCTGACACCCCACTGAGCCAGCACCATACTCGCCAAGGGTCAGTTTCCCTATTCCCATTTTACTGATGGGGACACTGAGTCTCAAGCTAGACGGAACAGGGCAGCAGGCAGGGAGTCCCTAGGAGCTTTGAGTTAAAAGTCCCATAGAAGAGCTGTTGCTCCTATCCTTCCCAGGGTGCCTAACGGTCCGGTCAACGCAGTAACAGCAAGGCCAACAAGTTCTGAGAGCCCACTACAGGCCAGGCGCTGTTTGTTGTGAGAGCCGTGAACATAGCTCATTTGACCTGCGTGACACATGGAGAAAATGAAGCACCTAGCACTTAAGCTCGAAGTCACTGGGCCAGCAAGTGCCAACACTTAGGTCTCACTACTTCACAATGTTGTTATTGTTAAATGCCATCAAGTCAGTTCCGACTCATAGTGACTCTGTTTAGGATTTCTGAGGAATGTCTGGTGGGTTTGAACCACCAACCTTGTGGTTAGCCGTCCAGTGTTGATCCTACAGTGCCACACCAATACACTATACGTTTCCCTAGTCCCTTCCAGCCTTGGGGTTCCAAGACCAACCCCCTTTGCCAGAGCAGGTTGGGGCTGGGCGGGAAGTGAGGACAACCTGGCCAGCTCTTTCCTGGAAATGCCTGTACTTTCTGTTTTCCCGGCCATCCCCTTACCCCTTCCCTTTCCCCCAGGTAGGCCTCAGGCTGCTGATTAGTGAACTGACCAGCAGGGCCATCTCATGGTCTTTTGTCCCCACAGGAGGCCTACTCTGTGGCCCGGCAGTTCAACCTCATCCCGCCCATCTGTGAGCAGGCCGAGTACCACATGTTCCAGCGCGAGAAGGTGGAAGTACAGTTGCCGGAGTTGTTCCACAAGATAGGTGTGCCCCGCCCTGCCCCCCCCCCAGCCTGCTTGGCCAGAAAGAGGGTCTGGGTCTGACCTCGCCTGATCTCTCTCCCAGGGGTAGGTGCTATGACCTGGTCCCCTCTGGCTTGCGGCATCGTTTCCGGAAAATACGACAGTGGCATCCCACCCTACTCAAGAGCCTCCTTGAAGGTGACGGGGTGGGAACTGGCAGGGCCTGCAGTTTGGAGATGGGGGGCGGGTCTTTGGACAGGTGACCTGGCCACAGCGGCTGGGGTCAGAGCCATGGGACAGGCCCTGGATGAGGCTGTTCCTTTTCCCCACTTGCCTCTGTGATTCTACATTCACAGCCTGAGCAGAGTCCACAGATTACACATGGGAGTCCCCTCCTCCATGCACCACCCGCCCCCATACTCTGTCTAAGAGCTCTGAAGTTGAACTCGGTGCTAGGGGCTTCAGGGCCTCTCAGGTGATCCCTGGGACAAGACACACACACACACACACACACACACACACACTTACCACTAGGATTTGAGGGATGAGGAGTAGGCCCAGTCAGACCCGACACTGGAACCCTGGCCACAGGCCCTCCCCCTCCTCAACCCACAGCCAAGTCAGGGAACCCCCTGGGAGACATTGGATCCTGAGGGAGGGTCCTGTAGTCCCCAGCCCAGGCCAATCCCGACACCAGCTTCTGGAAGTCAGCACGTCCACTACAGTGTCTGGCAGCTCCAGCTCCAGGCTCACCCCCCTTCTGCCTCCTACCTGACACACAGGCTTAGTTAGGCGTGCGGAGGGGGAGGGACGCTGCCCTGGTTCTGAGTGGGGATGAGAGCTGCTGTTTAGGGGACAAGAAGGATCTGGAAGGTAAATGTATACAGAGGTCTAAGTAACCTTCCCTCACCTGTGAACATCCCCCCTCCCCACCCCCACCAGGGCTACCAGTGGCTGAAGGACAAGATTCTGAGTGAGGAAGGCCGACGTCAACAGGCCAAGCTGAAGGAGCTTCAGGCCATCGCCGAGCGTCTGGGTTGCACCCTCCCCCAGCTGGCCATCGGTAACGGCTGGGATCAGAGAGAGGATGGGGGTCCTGGGCAGTGTCCCCCAGCTGGCCATAGGTGTAGGGTCAGGGCAGTGTCCGTGAAATTATGACAGGGATCTGTAAGTACCCGAAACACCCCTCCATCAGCCAGCTATGGGTACAGGACCTGTGTCCCTGAGAAAATGGGGATCCTGAGCTGCCTTCCATCAGTCATCCATGGGTCATCAGGCTCCCACATCCATGGGAAAAGGACTGGGTCCCTGACCACTTGCACCGTCTCTCCACCAGGAGGCAGTCAGTGGCCTTCCTTCCAGGCTCCCCTTGGGCAAAGCCCACACCCAACACTGCTGAGGAGCTGGGCACTAAGCACTGATTTTGCTAGGTCCCCCCTGTGGGCACCTTTGACCCCCAGACCAAAAAGCAGGATTTCTGTAACTAAGTGTTTGGGGGGCAGAACCAAAAAGGGCCCTGCAGTAATTGTGTCCCCTCACCTGCACCCTTGCTGTCCAGCCTGGTGCCTGAGGAATGAGGGGGTCAGCTCCGTGCTCTTGGGGGCTTCCAACGCAGACCAACTGATGGAGAACATCGGAGCAATACAGGTGAGCTCAGGGCCTGCTGAGCAGGACTCGGGGTCCCCGACCCTCTCTGTCCAGCCTTGGTCACTGAATGCCTACGGTGTGCCAAGCACTGGTCTAGGTGCCTGGGGTGCATCGTGACGTGGTCCCTGCTTTTGAGAAGCTCACTTTCCAGTAACGGAGAATAAACACTATAAATGCAAGGAATACATAGACGATGATCTATCTGTATTAGACATGGTAAGCACATGGTGCAAGGTAGGGGACACAGGAAAGCCCGATCAGGGCAGGAGCGAAGTGGAGGCATGGACCCCATTTTAAGGGGCTTGTTGTAAGAGTAAGCATGTGAGAATGTGGCATTTGCGCAAAGGCTTGGAGGAGTGGAAGTGAATGTGGGAATTCTTGGGGAAGAAGGTTTCCAGGCAGTGGGATTCACAATGCAGAGTGGAAGCAAGTTTAGCACAACCAAGGAAAACAAGGAGGTCCGAGGGCTGGCACAGAGGGGAGAGGGCTCAGAAATGAAAGACACAGACCCCCAGAGCCCCATCCCTCTCTCTGGAGTCCCTGGGTGGTGCAGAAAGATTGGAGAATCAAGTCCACCCAAAGGCACCTGAGAATAAAGGCCTGGCTGTCTACTTCTGAAAAATCAGCCATAGAAATCCCTGTGGAGCCCAGTTCTACTGTGACACACCTGGGTTCGCCATGAGTCCAAGTGGACTCGACAGCAACTGTCTGTTTTTGTTTTTGTTTTTCTCTCTGACTGAGTGGAGACTAGACTTTGTGAAGAAAAGAAGCAGAGAAGTAACTGTACTCTCCCAGGGGAAGGGTAGGTGGGTGGGAGATGGGAGAAGTGTTAGATTCTGGATACTTTTTTCAAGTGGGGTGGATAGAATTGGCCGACAAACTGAACGTAAAGAGAAGAGAGAAAGGAACCAAAGACACGCCCAGGGTTTTGTCTTTGAAGTATTGCTGCCTTCAAGGCAGGGAAGGCAATTTGGAAGTGTGGAAATCAGGCATTCAGGCCTTGCAATCTGCATGTTCTACCCCCATCACCTTTCTGGAAGGTTCTAGACACCTGGAATTTGTGAGGAGAATATAAGCCAGGGCACGTTCCCTATCTTCCAGATGGAGCCCAGATGTGGTCAGGTAAAGCTGGACCCGTTTTGTGGGTGGGACTCTCATCTGCCCTTGTCTTTACATGCAGGTCCTTCCAAAATTGTCGTCTTCCATTATCCATGAGATCGATAGTATTTTGGGCAATAAACCCTACAGCAAAAAGGACTACCGATCTTAAGAAGCCCCAACCCCGGCCGCTTGGACACTTTTCTTCCCCTCCCAGTCTCTGTTCGCTCGCTCTCGCTCGCTTAAGCTGTTTTGAAGCCAAGTGAAGAGTGTGGTTTGCATCCAAAAGACACAACAGACAAGAGACCGCTGGGACTTGGAGCTGGGGAACCAGCCAATTGGGGAAGGACATTCAGGGGTCATTGCTCAAAAGAAGAAACTTGTCTCCTCCCTTCTCGGCCCTGTACCCACACTCCCTAAGCAAGGCCCAGGGACCATTGCCAGGAATCCCCCACCTGGAGCTGAGAGCAGGGAGAGTGGTGCTGTGAAAAGCAAGCAGGCCTGGCTCTTCCTGTGTCCACTCTGCTAGGGCCTAGGCTTTGGAGGCAGGGCCTTCCCCACTGGGGGCTTCCCCCAACCTTCTCCCAAGGTTTCCAATACTTTCTTCTGCTCTCCCCTTCCCCGTTCCCACACCCCTCCATCTCAGCAGTGGCCGGCCTGTCCATATTGACCCTTAACCCCCACCCTGCGCCCTTGCTGGCAGGGGCAGGGGTCTCAGGGGGATTGGCTCTGTAGTTTGAGACTTACTGAAAGTTTTGAGTCTGATTTCCAGCTCCTGGCCACACTGGTCAGGACTGGTGAGCCCTAGATCAGGAAGGCCTGGGTGGAGCACTCATAGGGTGGCAGTAGGGGGCTGGTGGAGAAGGTTCCCCTGCCCTCTCCTGACCCTGTCTGACCTCACGACCAGTTGCCCACTCCAGAAGTGCCAAGGTAGAGCATATCTTTGCAGGACTGTGTCCGCTGACCATGCCAGGGTAGGGATACTCTCCTCCTGGCCTCGGAGATTGTAGCTCCAGGTGGTGGATTTAGGGTCTGCAGACAACATGCTTTGACTTTTCTAGTGAGGGGGTGACCTGGCCTGCACAGCTGCCACCCCTCCCATCAGAGAAGAGCTCTGAGAACTTGACACTGGAGGCCCTGTCTCTCAGAACAGAGTGAGGGGCACATCTTGGGGTGCTCTAAGAGCTTCCAGATGCTTGGGGCAGATGGGCACAAATCCCTGAGGGACACAAACGGTTAAGCACTCTACTACTAACTGAAAGATTGATAATTCAAACTGCCCCCCACCCCCGAGGTGCCTCAGAAGACAGACCTGGTGATCTGCTTCCAAAAGGTCACAGCCTTGAAACCTTATGGAGTACAGTTCTACTCTGACACACACAGGGTCGCAATGAGTCAGAACCAAGTCGATAGCAAGTGGCTTGGTTTGGTTAGGACAGATGAACAGTGAGTGCTGCCCCCAAGACCCACGTACTACATCCTCAAGGGACAGATGGCGGGAGGGGCATTCCCTTCCCCTCCCTCAACTTCAGTGTTCTCCCAGCTTGGAAGAGGCTGAAGAGACAGAGGGAGGATGGGGCTAGAACTTTCTGGTTCCATGGGAGGGGCTTACGGCCAGATAGATGCTCAGCCTTATGGTACTAATCATCCCAGCAGCCTTTGCTGGCTTTGTGGGAGTGGGGCTCTAGGCCTCACTGCTCACCCCCTTCCCACCCCGCCAGCCAGCACCTGTAGTGATAGTGCCCCACCCTCCCACACCCACACATAGGGGGTGAGGGGGCGGGGGCAGGCCCAGCTACTCCTCTTTACTCTTCAGGAAGCTGTTCTGGAATGCTCCTCCCTGCCCAGCCCACCCTGGCTGGGTTGACACTGGTAAGCCTGGCTTTAGAAAAGCCACCAGGTGAGGAGGTGGGTAGGGGCGTGGCTTCCTTCACTGTCCACTTGATGCTGATCCCTGGCGTCAGACCCTCCCCCTGGCCTTCCTCTCCAAGCTCCCTCCTAACAGCACCAGGAAGACCACCCCACACCATCCCACAGCTGGCCAGAGGGCAAAGTCAATGTCTCATCCCTGAGCTGGCAGGAAGAACGCTCACATTGGCTTCCTTTTACACTGGCCCCCTCAGGCCCTGCCCTCTGTTGGAGGCAGAGGGAGGAATGCAGCACACCTAGGAGCCACACCACAGCCACACCTCCCCACACCTGGGGAGGTGTTTGCCAAACCAAGGGAGACAGGCATCAACCCCAGCTGGGCCAGGGCTGAAATGCAGGCGCACCAGGTCACTGTTCTGAGGGGTTCTGCTTCCTGGGGACCTTTCCCCTAACTGACTCCTGTAGAGTAGGTGCGAGGGGAACAGAACTCAGACCTGGAGTCACTGAACCTGGGAAGGGACACCCAACCCCTGGCTGGGCAGCTCCCTGCCTGCCCTCCATCTGGTTCTGAGGGGGACCCAGGAGAAAAGTCCTCCAGGAGCTTCCTGTGCTGCTGCCAAGCAGCCTTAGCCCCTTTGCAGGGTCCCCACCCTCGGTGAAGAGGTTTGTCCCACTGGATCCCCACCTGGGCCCAGGTTGGGGGGTTCACAAAGCACGACACCCCACTTTCCCATCTGAAACGCTGTTTGTCAAGTCCAAGTTCGAGAGGAACGACGGAGTGGCATGCTCCGTGGCCCATTCTCTTCAAGTCCTGTAAATACCGTGCTGTTCTGGCCCCCTTTTTATTGACGACTGTGGTTCCCACGCTAACTGCATCCCTATTAGGCACAGACTACTGTTCGCCTCGCGCTTCCAGACGCGCCAGAGACGGAGACACAGCCACTGTATTTATGAATGACGAAATAAAATCAAGCCCGGTGGTCTCCTTGGCTCTGCTCTCTCACTGCCCTGAGCTGGGGGGATGGGGCTCCAGGCACGGAGCCAGTACAACTGGGGCTGGGGGAAGGGCAGCAAGAGAGGAGGGGAGGGGTGGTCAGAAGACCCCACATCTCTCAGGTGGCTCAACCCAGGGGTCCATGAGGATTGGAGGTACCTCTTCCCATCACCCCCTAACACACTGGTTACTGGGAAGCTGTTGTTCGCACGTGTGACAGGTTGGAGGATCTGGGCCTGTGATTCTCTAATGTACCACCCAGTACCACCCAGCTACTCTATTGTTGGCGTTCCCCTTGGTCCCAATAAGCTCCTTGGCCATGTGGGGTCAAGTCTTCTCAGGTGGAAGAGGCATCGGCTAACACCCCCAGAGCTCCTCTCATCAGAAATCAGTGACTCAAGAAAACTGTCTCAATCCTTTCCCAAAGGATTTATTAAAACACAGAAAACCAAAACATACACACAGAGTACAAAGTAAATGTGATTGTGTCGGCTAATCTGTCAACCCTCCCACGGGGCCGGGCCATGGAGGGTAAGGACTGGACAAGTCAGCTCCAGGGGGTACTCAACTTCCAAAGCTCAGGAACCCTCGCGCCTGCCCTCACCCCTGCCAGCCTGGGCCTGGGTTCCCTCCCAGGACAAGGGACCAGGTCCCCAGCACACTGGGACAGACATAGGAGAGGTGGGTGGTAGCTGGGCTCCATCCTCCTGCCCTCCCTCCATTCCCATCATCAGGCTGAGGGGAAGCAGTGGGGTTCCATCTCTACATGGGGAGCTCAAGACACACACACACACCCAACAGGACCTTTCTGGGTTATCGTACCTAAAAAAATACTTTGTTTAAAAAAAAAAAAATCTGAAAATTAAGAAAAAAACACAACATCGCCAATGACTTTGGGCTGATGATCCACAATCTGTATTGGGGATCTGTGGAACGAGCCAGTGCCAGCTTTCTCTACCCACGCTGTGGTTTGTAAAGGGGATCCAGAGGAGAACATCCAACCTGGGCAGTGGCCCCAAGACAGTGGAGAGAGAAGTGGTCAGCTCGGCCTCCAGCCCAGTCCCTTCCCATGCACATCATCCTCCTAAGCATACACAAGAGGTGTTGGGGTGGGTATTCCCCAGCCCCAGCCCACGTTCCGTATGACCACAGAGCCCTGGAGTCCAAGATGTGGGAGCGGGACTGCAAGTGTCCCTAGTCCAGGACTTCCGCTAACCCCCATCTGGGCAGGGGTGTACCCAGATGGCCCTGGGAAAGGCCCATCAGTTACAGGGAAGGCAGTTACTCAGCTAACTGGTCTCAACAGGAAGTCCTGGCTCCCCCACCCCCTCAACCCCAGTCGAAACTAACTATGTTAGTTTCAGGGACCTGTTCCCACATGGTATGTCTCAGGGAGAAGGAGCTTCTGTGTCCAGTGTTTACAAGAAAGAAGCCCTCAGGACACCTCATTGTTAAGTGCTATTAAGTCCGTTCCAAGGGCATAGGGGTTCCCAGGAGAGGCTGGTGGGTTTGAACTACCAACCATGTGGTTAGCAATCTAGTGCTTATCCTACAGTGCCACACCAGGACTCTAGACACCTCATTACCAACAAGCAATGCCTTCCGAGGCCTTTGGCCCAAAGGTGGCCCAACAGAAATCCTACTCAACACTGGGCTAAATCATAACATAGCTGGAAAGAAATCTAGTGCCTTGGGATCCTCTTGCAAACAAGGATCCAAATTCTCCCAGCAGCAGAAGCCAAGTCCAGCCCAAAGATGCCACAGGCAGCAGACGCCACCCACCCCCACCGCTATCCCCAGCATTTTGGCAGGGTAACCAATAAACCAGAAGATAACAGTCTGAAGACGCTTTTTCCTCTCCCAAACCAATCCAGCCAACCCGACCCGTGCTGAACAGCAAGGCAGCAGGAGCAGTGCCCGACCCCAAGCACAAGGACCTCCCGGGAACCTGAGGGCAGCTGCTAGCCTGGTGGAGGAAGAGGACAAAGCGAGAGAAGGCTCCTGGGAAGGAAGGGTGGCACTACAGCCAGGAAGAGTGGTGCTCTTTCCAGCAAGGCAACCCCAGGGCTACCAAACAGGGAGGGGAGACTCTCAGGGTCCTAGGTTGAGGACAAGCTGAGATGGATCACCTCACTGGGGTCTGGAGCAGGAGGCACTAGCCACAGGACACAGCACAAGAGAATTGGCAGGGTAACAGGGCCATCAATGCAACACACGAGTCCCCAAGCCTGCGCTACCCTCCTAAGCTTGTGCACCCTCCATTGGTGTCCCCCTTGGGCAGGGCCAGGATACTCCCATTCTGTCACTGCCACCTAGGGGAGTGACTAGGATGGAAGGGACACTGGGGGTCCAGCCCCGCAACCCCAGGGATTCAAAAAGAGCCATTTTACAGATGAGGACATGTGAGGTTCAGGGAATAAGCAATTGCCTAGGC